CTACCTAGAAGTTATACTTGACAGAAAAACATGCATTCAGGCTAAAAAACATGTTTGAATTTACCGCACCATGTAATTACCAAATGATTGCTGAGAGTATTGTGTGGTCAAAGCTGTCATCTCCCCACTTTCTCAAGTGAGAACAAAACCAACAACATCTGTTACATAGCTTGAGCACTCAGAAAGTCATCAGCAAGATTCTACCCTGTCTACTTCAACAGTTTAGATATTAGAAGAAGGAATAAAAAAAAAAAAACAATACCAAGAAGTGCATTCAACTAACCAAACCTATTTGTAAAGAAAAAATGATGCATGGCATATGCCCACAAAAATCATCACTATCACCTGTTTATGCATTAAAAAATCATCCCACCCAAATAACAACTTATTTTTTTATTTACAGGTAAAAATCAGAATTTTCAAAAAGATACAGGTATTCTTTTGAGACCCACAAGACATCATCTGCAGAGAAAATGCTAGTCTTTACATCTCTTATGACTGTAATGCTGACACCTTTGAAAAGCAGGCCTTGAGAGCTCAGGTCCTACTATCAAGGCATCTCAGACTAGTAGAAAAGCATGAATATCGGATCAGAAACTAAAAATTTTGACAGATTCACACCAACCACTTTGTTGAGTCTCCTGATCAATTTTCTCTTAAAAACTGTCAGGAAATAATTTCTTCTTTATAGACTAGTTACAAGGAGAGTGCTATTTTATAACAGGGCCTAATTTAAGGTGATATAAAATCTGAAGGAGTAATTAGTGCTCTATGGAATATTTCCACAAGTAATAAATTCACACGATATATGATCTTTTCAGCACTGGAAATACAACAGGATCTTTATGCTTTAATCCATGAAGAGATTAAAAGCAGAAACACAATAATCAGGCAGAAAAAAAATAAAGTAACACTTTCAGAAAGGAACTTTTTCACAACTTACTGTTCAGATATACAATAGAGGTTTTAAGTTTGCTTTTATCCTAAGTACTTCATAACTCAGTATGTAAATGCAAATACATAATACAAATGTTGAGTAAATGGCATCTTAGTACCTAAAATTGGTACTAACCAACATAACATCAGGAGCATCTATCAAGACATTGCATGACAGAGAGGAAAATAATAGTAACAAAAACCACCCAGACTTTGCATACTACTAGATTACTAAATCAGGATTGTTCCTTCCTTTTTTCCTGCTTCTATCAATCTCAGCATAGTTATTAGATGCAATTGAATTCCATTAACTTTGTATTTGCTTTCCAAACATACAGGATATCTGGCTATACCAGTTTGCTTCCAGGATTTCTGAATTATGAACACTATAACTTCTGTTGTACATTGTAGTGTATCTTGAACATACTTCAAAAAGTATTATGCTACCATTGCCTAGCATAAAACACACATTTTTATCAAAGAATGCATTGATCTAAATCTGGCATTCCTGATGCAGTTATGAAAAATCAACAGACAAACCAGGAGTATAGGTATAACAGTGGGAGTCAGGTCAGAAGCTGAAAGTCATGTTATGCTGCTATCGCTGGCACAAATGAGGCCACATCTGAGGTCTTGCAATGTGACCTAAATATTGAGACAAAACTCTACCATTTTAAGTATTTGCAGATGTATTTCTGAAAAATATGATTTCTGGAGAGTAAACATGAGCAGTTGCAAATGCTCAGACATATTACTTGTGGCAGGAGAGCATATGCTAGGCCTAGGAGAGTGCCATAAATGTCCTGCCAGCTTTACCCACAAGCACTCACTTCAGAGTTCTCATCTGCATAATTGCAAACACAAGGAGCTTCCACCGAAACCCAATTCTGAAAAATTCTCCCTATGCTAAAAAGTACAGTCAGGATGAAATTAAGCTCAAATAAATCTTGATTTATTCTATAGAATAAATTTATTCTACAGAATAAATTTGGTCCCTCAAAAAAAAAAAAGTATTTATCAAAACAGCCTGTCATCAGTATGATAGATGACTAGCCATTGAGCTACTTAAGTGACAGCATTGCCTGTTCTTGTCATCAGGAAAATGAGCTTGATTACTACCTTTACCAAACCCTATCTAAATTATTCTGTCCATACTGTCATGTTATTCTACAGAGTGGCTAGAACTGGGATAGTCTGGTTAACTGAAGTTCCAAATAGTATTACTGAGGAAAATCAAGCACATTTCTTGACATGATTTACATATCTTTACAACCTACTTTTTCTGTTTGTAACTTTGGGGATTAGTAAGAGTAATAATATTCCAGAAAATATTCTGTCCAAAAAATTACCACACATCTCAAAGGCTGGAGGCAACAGGAATTCAGTTCACCTGTGCTCTCCATTCTAGACAGCAGCTCCTTAGATGTTGTCTCAAGATGCACTCATTTCACAACCATGTTGTTTTTATTTGCTAAAGCAAGAAGGATCATAAGATGACTATTTTTTAAATCATCAACTTAACAAATGAAGCCATGTCTAACACTAATGTGGCTGAATGAAAGAAATAGACTGTCTGCATGTATGTTTGTGTGGGTGGCATATCCATCCACACAACCTGCTGAGCTGTCCCAGGGCCACAGCTGCATGTGGCTAGTTAATGATATAAAGTCATCCAGATTCAACTGTATCATCCAAGGCTTGTCTTGTGCTTAGGCAGCCTATTTGGCTGTCCCAGGGATGGCACAGTACAATCCCTCTCTTCCACACCACTGCCCTAACTATAAGGGTATCCCACCAGAGAAGTTTACACTGAATTCCACAGAAGGGGAGCCAAGAGGAGGTACTTACACATTACATTTCAAATACACATTGAGAGAACAACAGAAGCAACACAAGCAGTAAGTGTACATCACACCAAAATCCAGCTCACTTTCCAACAGGTGAAAACCAATTATCCTCTACTTGAATAGTGGAACCCATATATCTCACAGCTGAGAATAGCTTTAATTTTCCTCAATCCACACACCACAACATTTTGGCACTGAACTACTCTGCTCTTTGCTCCTCCTCCAGGCCCTAAATAGATGGGAGCACTGTGTTTGCTCATGCAGGATGGTGCAACATCAGCAATAGAGGCAGATAAGCAGGGATAACTCAGTGTCTTACATTCCCTAACGATGACCTTGAGGCAATTTCATGGTCAGCATGTGGATTTTCTATTCTTCAGAACCCCCACTGATTATAAATGAAACATACAATGCCATTCAGCTTGCTCCATTAAGATTGTTTAAATCTTTTGTAGTTGTATTTTGGAAGTCTCCCTCTATAGTATTTTACAGTGATTTTAGAAGATTTCTTAGGACTTTTAATGTCTTAAATCTACCGCTTCATTTCTCTTTAAAGCAAAATAATGGGACTTTAGTGATGAGTTTACTGTCTAAAATGTTATATTGTGAAGCATTTTTATTAACTTTAAAGCAAAATATATTTCATTAGTAGATACAGTTCATACTTAACAAATGCCATCCCACTAGAAGGAGAACTGTTAAAGTATTAAATATTTCCATTTCTCTAGGTCAGAAATGCCCTTTCCCTTCCATTTCTTAGATTAATTTTTTAAAAAAATCACAATGACCAACTAACATTTCTTTTGTAAAATGAAAAGAGACAAATCAAGGCTTGGGACAATAACAGAACTAATTTTTATCCCAACACATTTGTTACGGTGTACCAAAATCCCTTTTGTTGTATTTTGTGATATTTAACTACCATTCACTTTCAGTCTTTCTTACATATGAAGACTGCAGAAGACTGTAAAAGACTAAAACACTTCACAGTTATTTGGGGCAGAAAAAGGGGAAAAAATAAAGCCAAGGAAGGAATTATGTATGTTTCTCACTTAAGCCAGACAAGTGGGAAGACAGTCTCTTGGGCATGATTTCTCAGTGTTTTGTAGTCTACTCAAAATGTTTTAGGAGGTTTTGATGAATATATTAAAATTTTAAATTAAAAACTTTCAGAATTTTTCAGCTGGAAGTGTTACTTCCAACTTCTCATTATCAAAACTTTCTATCAGATTTCACTATCATGTAAATCAGACTGCCTCTCTTTACACTCAATACCTCAAAATTTCTGACTGCATAAAGCTATATCTCTTTATCCCACAATTCAAAATGTAATTCAGAATGTAATTCATCTGTAAGGCAGTGCTCCACCAACTGAGCACTGTTTACTGCTCTTGGCCTGCAGAAGAATTACCGATGGTTTGAAGACAGCTGGCTGCCTCTCAGCACTCAAAGCTGCTGTCTTGGCTCATCTGCTTCGAGCAGTCTGCTGGCCTGGAAGAGCCAAATGAGGAAACAAGAAGGAGGACAAAGCCCAGCTATTAGATATTAAGAGGAGGTAAAATGAGCTTCCCAAATACTGGTAGAGGAACAATGTCTTTGGAAACAAGCAAAGCGAAAACAAAGCAGCATGTTCCCCAGCCAGGCAAGAACAGGGATGCAGATAATAGGGTGTAAGAAGATGCAAGGAAGTAAAAGGCCAGTAAAACTGGGCAAAGGAAAGGCAGTGGTACATAGTAAAAAAATAGACTTTAAAAGTGTTTAACAAGTATCTACAAGAAGATACACCATGTAGCAGAAATGAGAGTCAAACCCATCCAGAATCTCATTTCAAGTAATTATTAATATCTAACTATACCACAACATCTACAGGACAGAAGTCAATAACAAGACAATTTTATACCATATACATATATATCTCAGAATATAGAACAGTGATATGGTGAAGAATCTTCTCTTTTAAGGCATCTTTGACTTTAAGGGCTTGTTTCTTTATTTTAATTTAATCAAATTTAAAGATGAACAGCAGAAAATAAGCAAGCACTTTTTAAAAATGTACATATCAACCAATTCAAATCTATATCAATTAAACATGAAGTACAATAGCTATAAACAAAAAAAACCAAAAAACAAAACCAAACAAAACCAAGCAAAAAAAGACAAAACCTAACAAACTAACAAACCAGTACATAAGGATATGTCAGCAACTTAATCACTTACAGGCTCTCCTCGATGTCCTTCTAGGCCTGGAGATCCAGGCTGCCCAACTTCTCCCTTTAAATAAAAAAAGTCTTAAGAAAACAAGCCTATTTGCATAATAAAAATTATTATTTTAAATAGTAAATAGTATTTTTAATCTAAGTAAAATTTCAAACCAATACACATTGAGACTTCACCAAACATCTGTCAACAGTTTAAGACACAGCAAGAAGAATCATCAATCCAATACTCCCTCATGTTGTGTCTAACAGCTATCAGTTTGCAAAGAGATGAGAGAAAATTTTCTTTTCACTCAGAACAGCTATTTCTAGTAGAAAAATATGCATAAAACAATAACAGACTTTTACTGTTTAATTGTTAGTATAAATAATAGTATGAAAAAATATTTCACAGTACTTCAGAATACTGCAGTACCACAAAGTATGCATGACATTAAATTATATCTATTATTTATATATCTAATATAATACTAAAGGATTCTGAAAATTTGAATAATTTCAGAAATAAAAGCACATTAAAAAAGGCAGAGATACAGATATAATGTAGACAGCTATAAAGACACACACGTACAAAATAATCTGGCACTAATTAACTTAAAATTATAAAAGCTGGACTTGAAGTAACAATGGGTAGCATGTGGGTTTCAAGCCATGTTTTTTCCACATTGTTTCCCAAAATGAATATTGTAAAAAACAAGGAAAGCACCAATAGAAATTTCCTTCAAAGACAGCCTGTTTGTTACTGTTCTGAATTTGATTACAGACTCAGAATGAAGCAGTGTTTTATAGCAAGCAGATGTTGAAGTCAGGCTAACAAAATGTTTGAATGAAAAATATGGTTTCTATTAACTATTATATTATAAAATTAATAAAACATAATGAGCACATCATATTTTTGGTACCACAATAAGAAGGAAAATAGTCCAGAAAATGTCTTTCAGTTGAAATGTACACACATTCACACAATGTACTGAATTCTCTGTATATTGCTTACAAGCATAAAACATATGAAAGTACTCTCCAAATTCATGCTTTAGCAACACAATGCTTCACTCTAAATTACCACCAGTGACAGTTAAAATTTTATGTTAATGTTAACTGTGACTATTACCTGTCCATGTTATCAAATACTAGAAAAGAAAAAAAATCTAGTATCTTTTTTCCTACATTCTGAAGTACCAGAGAAAGAAATTCTCCTCCAACTTAGCAATGATATCTGTGTGTGAGTGTATGTGTGCATATATATATGTGTGTGTATGTATGTATGTATGTATATATGTATATATACACATATATATGTAAAATAAGAGAAGGTTAATTTGAAATAAATTCCTGGAGGGAACCAAGCTCATATCACAGATAACAGAAGTCTAGTCTGGAAAATTGTTGAAGGACTAATTCAGCTGACCAGACATCAGGAGTTGAATTCCACTGACCACACACAGACATTTGGTTGTATTTGAGACGCCCAATGATATCTTGTTTAGTCCCACTGCAGAAAAGCACTGGCTTTACATAGGACTTACATTTTTCAGTTCCCTGAGGATGTTTTGGACACTAATGAATTTCAACTGTACCAGGGGCTTTTATGTGCACAGCTAAACTGATCCCTATGAGTTTGCCTTTTCTGAGCTGAATTACTCTCCAGACTCCACTGGCCTTACCCTGGATCCACCTCATTAACAGCTGCTGCCTGGAAGATTTTAGGTCTCTCACAGGTCCTGTGTCATATGTCCCTGCTGCAGCAGATGTCACAGATATGCCAGCTGCATCCCCAACTGCACTAGACAAGCATGGTCACAAAAGAGAAGATCCAGATCTCCAACTACAGCAATATGAATTTAGACAAATGCACTCAGAAGTACATTTGCATTTTTGGACACTGAAGTAACATTGATCTTGCTCAGCCCTAGATAATTTCACTGTTATTAAAAAAAAAACAACAACAACTTAGAGGAACAAAGCTGTTGAAAAAGCTCCTTTAGATCAATTCAATTGAGCATTTACATCACATATTATTAAAATCTTTTCCCTGTGAACTTAAAATTGATACTACTGAACACCATATTTTCACAAATTAGAGCAGTGCAAACAACAACTTGGCAAGCAAAACGTCCAGTGAGCACACAGACTGCAATACATCATAGAAATACCAGATCCTGTTGCCTTTTTCACGGTAGGCACATACTTAGTTGACTTGAAAAACTGTTCTACATTAAATACAAACAGCACTGCATAGTGAAGTGAATAAAAACACATACAAAAACATTAATCCAATACTGAAGGTATTTTTCCTTAATTTTCCTGTAGCTCCCTTCAAAAGCAATTATGTCCTCTAGTGCATGCTTGTATATAAATCTCTTTAACAGAATCATAGGGTTAGAGAAACACATAGAGAAACATAGGGCTAGAGAAAAGGGTAAGGGAGATAAAGTATAAACAATCTCTAATGATCACTAACACACTCTTAATAAAAGCTTTGCCTCTCCTCACAGAACAACTGAAAGCAATGAAGTCTGCTCATTGCTGCAGTAAACTCCCACATCTCCCAGTAGCAACATTATTTTGATTTCTAGTAATACTCCACAGAATAAAATTTGCATGTTTACACCATGAGCAATGCTATTGAAGACTTCTGCCAAGATATTAATACACATTTCTACATACCTTGAAGCCAGGACTGCCCGGTAATCCATCTTTCCCATTTCTGCCAGGGTCTCCCTGTGGCAACATTTAACAGTAATCAGCAGGTAAATTAAGAAGCAAAAGCTAACGACAAATTGTCTTCAGAAAACTTACAGATCGCCCAGGCATTCCTGGAAACCCTGTATCACCCTTCTCTCCTTTTGAACCCTGAAAAAACCAGCAAGTGGAAAGTAAGTAGTGTTCAACATCTATGCTGCAAATTCAATATATTTAACCAATAATTCATGTATGTTATTTCTCATTTTGAAAAAGTACAGATCTGTTTCTTTCTTAACTCAGGTAGTTGTCAATTAATAACTACAACCCCATTACATAAACAAAAATGTGCTTCAAACTACAGAAATGCTCACAAAGACCCTCTTTCAAATTGCTTAAAACTCTAAACTACTGAACACATGAAGCAAATATAAGGCCAGGTGAAAATATAGCTGTTAACACTGGAGAGCCAAACTATACTCTGTGCTTTATATAAAATACACATTAAAACATCTCTCTTCCCATCTGCCATCAGCCTCGCTCCTTTCATGTGCTCCTCCCTAACTCCTCCCACTCTCTCTCGTTTGGTTATATGTACATCTGTATAAAAAAACTTAGACATCTTTGCAATATAATTATTACTTATGCCTCTTATATGGTGTGTTCCATATTTACAAAAAATGCATGCATTTTGTGCTATGTGAAAATTAATTACACCAATCCATTAAGAGAATGAAAAGGTTCTCAAAATATCCAAATAAGCAGAGTGGGAGTTTGACATTACTAAATGTAGATACTTCCAGTAAAAATGTGAACATTTTTCTGAGCTGTAAATAAAGAATTATATTTTCTGTGAAGATGCATGTTATAAAAATGTTAATTATGCTGTCTGGGGTTCTCATGCCCAGGCTCCCAGTGGGAATGCAGGGGCTCCATGAGGGGAGGCTGGGGCTGCCCCAGCCAGACACAGCCGGACACAGCCGGTTCCAGCCGGACACAGCCGGTTTCAGCCGGACACAGCCGGACACAGCCGTACACAGCCAGTTTCAGCCAGACACAGCCGGTTCCAGCCAGACACAGCCAGTTTCAGCCAGACACAGCCGTACACAGCCGGTTCCAGCTGGACACAGCCGGACACAGCCGGACACAGCCAGTTTCAGCCAGACACAGCGAGTTCCAGCCAGACACAGCTGCCCCCAGCAGGGTGCAGCTGAGCCATGGCCCGGGCAGGAATGGGGAATGTGTTTAGCAAGGGACAGAAACATGACACCAACAAAATAAGGGAAGAGGAGAAAAGCGGACACCAAGAAGAGGGTGCTGGAGCAGTGATGCCCCTGTGGCCTTTGGAGGGGGCCATGGAGGAGCTGTGGTAGCCATGGTGCAGCCCATGGAGAATCCCTCAAGACCAGGTTTGCCCAGACGGCCCTGAAAGACCTGCACTGGAGCAGGGGAGGAGTGTGAGGAGGAAGAGCGGGGAGAAGCTGTTAAAGACCACCCTACCTTGCTCCCCACTTCCTATCCCATGAAGGAGGGAAGCTGAGCTTGGGAAATGGCAGGGTGGAGGAGAAAGGGGTTTTGTTGTTTGGTTTTTTTTTCTCACTGTCAAAACTTATTTTAGTTGTCAATAAATTAAATTAATTTTCCCTGGGTAGCCACTGTTTTGCCTGTGACAGTAACTGGAAGGTAATCTCTCTTATCTGGACCATCAAGCTTTTCTTTCTTATTTTCTCCCTCATAGTGTTGAGAAGGGAGATCGAGAGGTGTGCTTGAGGGTTTGCACCAGGCAGCCAGTCTAAGTGACCCCATCACAGATACTAAGAGCATTTTGTTTCAATTTATGCCTATAAAGTCACTTGCCTTTTTTCCATATATTCCTGGCTCTCCTTGATCTCCTTTAGGACCTCTTTCTCCCTAGACAAAATGCACATGGAGCAAGTTAATTTTTAAAATAGAAGCAGTTACATCAAGATATATTTATATATATATAAAGTATACATGCGTAACAGACATAAAGAAGGCAAAGAACTCCCTGTGATAGAGAAAATATGCCCAGGACTTAAATGCAAATCCTGAGTTTTCCCAGCTTTCCAAGAGAAGGCCAGAATGTCCAGCACTGATGGTGAGACAAACCACAGCTCACAGGCTAAGGCTTCTACTTTCTATAGAAAGTTTTTTCTAACATATTATTTGTGATGAAGAATCCTCTAAGTAGTAGTAAAATCAAATTAATATAAAATCCCATAGAGCAAAATGAAATTAAATAACAGATGGTTTCTATTGTTTGATATCTATGTAATGAAGTCCCACGGCATGTATCTTCCCTAAATACCACCTTCATATCTATTCATTTTGAGCAATTTAGCAAATTCTCTGAAACAGTATTGTGTATAGACTTGTTTAGCCTTTAAATTAAAACTACATGGCAAGCTGAAACACAGGAATATTGAAACAAGAAATATTTAATTCCAACCTTTGGTGCTGGCATGCCATGTAATCCAGGAAATCCAGGTAGTCCACTGTCACCCTGAAACAACAAACATATTTTAAATTCTTGAGTCAAAATACTGGAAATATACTACAACACTCATATTCTCATGAACAAAAAATAGTAGAAAGATATAATTTATCACTGTATCAACTTCATAATATTGGTATGACTGATAAGAGTTTTTTCATCTTTAAACAAAATTCACTACATAAAAAAACCAACCTTACTCACTTAATTTTAAACTAAATTTACAGTAATCTTTTAGTAAGTCTTATGGAGGTTCGAAAGCAGCAATTCATGACCTTATGAGATTTCCTACCAGGTTACTCTGGATAAGTGAAGTATTAAAAATAAGATATTAGGTATGTACTCTAAAAAAGAAACTAAATTTAAAAAAATACACTTATAAAACAACATTGGCAAATTGACAAATGAGTTCTCATTTCAGAGAAAAGAGAATCCACTTAGGTAAAAGCAGTTGGCAATTGAAAAGACAAGATACCAGTTCTTTTTATTGTTCTCAGAGGTGTCAGGTATCAGGAATTCCAACTTTTGCTATTACTGCTGAAGATATTGAACTGACAATTTGTCTGCAAGTTCCCTTGAGCAATAACAACAAAATCCTAAATTAAAACTTGTCACTACTTGACTTAAAACAATAAAACCTATCCTAGTTGCTTGGTTCAATAGACTACTTCACTTGAGAAAACAGCTAATCACAAAATCATTTTTGGACAATCAGAATGTTTCCTTTCTGTTAATACCTACTTTTATATTGAACCATAGATTTCAGTTTGTTTAATATATTTCAGTCAGATAGAAGTTACAGTAAACTATGCTCAGAAAGTTATTTCATATAATATTTCAAATTCTAAGACAAGGGTTAAACCAGGACAACATGTCTCAATGCTGTTTATCAAAGCCATTCATGCCTAAGCAGATTTGGAAAGGTCTCTCATATATTTGAGGTAGGCAGGAACATGACCACAGGAATGACAGCTTGTGGGTAAATGCTATCAAAACATCTCTCAACAAATAAATATTAAAAGCAGACAATGGAATGGAGTTCAAAAATCAGCAAAGGGTATAAAGCTAACGCTTCATATATCCATTGCTTCTTAATGAAAAAGAGCGGAGCCTTGGTTTCTACTCAGAAGTGGTGGTTCAATTATTGAACTGAAACATTTGGAAATTGAAACTATTTTAAATTAGCTACTAGAGAAACTTTACAAGCAATTGAGTGAAATAAAGAGATGAAAATTTGGCCAGGATTTCCAGGAAAAAAAATTCTAATGGCAAGACCTATTTTACAATGGAAATTTTCTCTGAAACAGTGGTGGAAGCCCTATTTCTTGGCACATTTTAAACAAGGCTAGACTGAGTAACAGGAAACATTCTGTCTGTCACAACCCTGCACTGCAAGGCAATCAGTTTTTCATCAGCAGCACCGTAATTTCTACATATAGCCCAATACTGATTGATTGGTTAGATTAACTTCTAAAATCAGTTTGATTGAGATGAATAAAGTACAGAACACATAAGAAATTTTTCAGTTCTAACCATGAATTTGAGAATTCTGCTGAACAGTGATGAATTTAAGGACTTGCTTATTGGGAACTTTAGAAAGAAAAATTCTAAGATTAATTGGGAAAACAAGTGCTTGTTTCACAGAAAGAGCTTTGAAGTTGTAATGAATCAAAACCAAAATAATTGTACATCAAAATCAGCTTAGAACTTTTCTAAACATAGGGCAGAAATGTGAGAGAAGGCCATAGCCAAGGGCAGTTTATTTACTGCATATAAAGAAGATCCAGAGTCAAGTTTATCCTGATTACCAGAAGACAATTACATATAAGCTTCTACATCTGTCTATACCTCCAAGCTACTGGCTACACCTCAGCTAGAATTTCCCACAAAAATTTTGGGTTCAATTAGTCAGTGTTTTCTGATAAAAATTGTCAACCAGGAATTCCTACCTAAGTTATTCGGACACACACTTAAAAAGAGTGAAGAGTTAAAAAGAAACCATTCTGACAGATGTCTGTATTGTGCTTCCAGGTACCCATATTTGCATACACTTTCTAAGTATATATTATTCAGTAAAATAAAGTTGTTACTGGCAGTGCTAAAGCCTATATAAACTTTATTAAATAAAGAAAGACACAGTCGGAATTTAAATTTGTTGGGAATTTAGTCCGTCCTTATTACCCTTTTACTGAACAATTCTCACAGAACACTCATGTGAAAATACTATTTTGTACAAATGTATATTCTGTATACCTGTACAACCAAAAATTATAAAAGGTAAGAGTAAAACCTTACTATCTATTATTCTTGTTTGGGTTCTTTTACCTTTGCCCCATCTTTTCCTGGTTCTCCCTTGATACCTGGCAAGCCACGAGGTCCCTAGATTGAGAAAGAAATGAACACAAGTTGAAATACTAATACTAATACAATCTGATCCAGAATTAGACACAGAAACGTGACACAACATGGGCCAGAGAACAATGTGTCAGCTGCCTGATTCCAACATTTTGATGACTGGACACAAAAGCAGAACTAAGTGTAATCTGTACCCAGCATGGATGAACACAGCACACTATCATAATCCATGACTGAGGAACACTGAAACAATCTTTTGCTCTAACCAAGGACCACCCAAGGTAAAAAAAGAATGTCACACAACCATACTAGCCTGTTCAAAATCACAGCCTGTCAACATGTGAGCCCAGAGATGTCCCCTTCAATAGCCCATCAGACAGCGTCCACAAATGCCATTTTGCAGGCTTGCTCTTGGACCCAGCAGGCTCTCAGATATTTAATTCCACAAATGAGTAAATCCTTGACTGTCATTCAGACTGGATCATACCAAAAGTAAAATACAGCACAGGTTTCCAACAACTGTCTCAGTAAGGACTACTAAATTAATACAACAAAGAAAAAGAATTCTCCTCCATCAATCTGGGCTTTATGTGAAATCTTGTTTTGGATGTGTGAATTGTGGGCAATCCATCACCATGACAAGAGTTCAGATCACTGCTAGTGGTACATAGAAAAATTGAAAAAACTACTGTTTGGCTCCTGGATTGGGATAAAAATGTCTAAGCTGCAGCTGAATCCACTTCTAGAGGCCTTACCTAGCATGGTTTAGATTTGTAGTCTAATTGTCAGCCTACCTACAAACCCCAAAGCCATGTGAATTTCAAAGCAATTCACCCAAGGATGGCCTCTGATTTCATGACACCCCTTGAGCCCTCTTCATTCCCCACACCTCAACTCTCAGTGACAAAGAGAGAGACTTGGCAGGATTTGTGTCAGATATTCAAATTCTAGCAATGAAACAGAAACTCACTTGAATCCCTGGATTTCCTGGGATACCTGGAGTTCCTGCTGATCCCTGGTATCCCTAAAGAAAAGAACCAGGACTTGTGACTTTTCAGAAACAACATACACAAATTTCCAAATATCTATTAAAAAAAAAAAATCCTCCTGCTTACTAGAGAACTTTTGTCACAACCCTATAATTTTAGGTCACAGATTTTATCAACTTTAGCTATCACAATCATACATTTTGGATTTAGATATCAACTTTCAAAGCTTTCATATCTGCAGCTGAAGTTCTCAGCCTCCAGACTTTAGCTAAAACCAGTTATTTTAGAATTGTTACACAAAAGCATAACAAGCATATTGTTTTATTTTCCACTGGAAAAAAAAAATAATCCACATATGTAGACACATTTTTTCTCTCTCTCTCTCTCTCTCTTAAGAAAAATATCTGAAATACGCCAAGACTTTTAAAGGCTTCTATCCAGTTACAGAAATAAGCTTTAACAAACAAGGTATGTTGTAATACATTATGCAGCTAGTTCTATAATATTTCTACAAAACAAAAATTCCATTCTTGATACTAAGCACTTAGTTATGAACTTGAATGTATGTAACAGTCTATACAAATAAAAAAAAATAATTTGAATGATCAGGACTACAGAAAGAAATACTAAATAATTCATGAGTTAGAAAGAGAATCTCAGGAATGCTTTACTAGAAATCAACATTGGCAGAACAAGAGAACCTTTACAGAAACCAAAATATATGTCTATGTTTAGGTAGATTTGATTCAATTAGTGCAACAAAGACAGAGAGTTTTCATGCAAAATTTGTATGGGCTTTAAAGAATCGCTTAAGAGAGGCAAGTTACTTAAAAATAAGAATTTTACATAGCTCATTTAAAAGAATGTCCTTGCAGTGGACAAAATGAGATACCAAGAGGATTTTTTTGAGAAAACATATGAAACAGGAAGAGAAATTGTTCTATAATACTCTGAGGCTATTTGGTTCAGACATTTCATAGGCAGACAAAACTAAATTTGATAAGTCCCATTAAATGTGCTATCCAATTTCAAATACCCAAAATCTGATCTTGATTTGAACTGAAAGAAGTAATAATTCTATTTCCAAATGGGTTTCAAGGTGATTTCCACACTTGTAAAAAGGAGTACAAGGGAGACAATCTCTTTGTCTGATTTCTTCTTTAAATCAGTCAGAGCTTCCTAGGAATAATAAACTAAGCTAAAATTATTTGCTGGGTTCAAGAGAGTCCTTGCTGTGCCCTCTTCCCAAAAGACATTTGAGCAGTTGCCCGATGAGCCAGCTGGTAATGTTTAATATAGAAGTAAACAGAATTCTAGGTCTCTGTCATACATGGATCCTTTATCAAGCATTTTACTTTTAGTGCTCAAGGCAATTCTAGCAAAATCAGCTTTAACTGTAAATGGTATAGTATCCCCAGAGTGCTTACAGGCATCCTGGGTAGCTGAAACAATTCACCAAATCAAAAAATGCCTCTGAAAGTTTAACCATCTTTTTCTTCTCAAAAAAAAAAAAAAAAAAATTGCTATGATTTTTCTGGAGGATATAATTCTATACAAATAACACTTTATTTCATAATTTAGATCTCTGTAATGCAATTTCCCTTCTCCCTCTAACTGAGCAGGGGAAGAAGTAGAAGAGGACAATTTCCTGGCTGAACTGAATTTCAAAATCACAGGATGAATGGAGGAGAGCAGAACAGTTTCCAGCTTACAAAACTGAATATTTAACTCAGAGCTAAATATTGTAATGTGATTTCAATACAAATCAAACACATTGTCAATGTGCTCTTTTAATGGAAAGCTGGAAGGGAGAAGATTCAAAAGGAAATTCACAGAAAGTCACAAAAGTTAGAATCACTATCTGGTACAAATAACATAGCAATTATTTGGGCAAGTTAAAAAACACCTTCTGTAAAACCACCAAGTTTCATAAAAAATACTCATATATTTGTATCACTACTCCTTTTGCAGTATGGATCATCAATCTACATGGTAATGCCAACAAATTTTTTTCACTAAAGTCAGCTCAAATCCTTTTTCCCTAATCACAAAGCCTTCGGTAGGAGTACTTGTGTGACATATGTACGTAACTGCAAGAATAGCAGTGCCATAGCTGCCATTTTATGTAAAGGGGACAGAAGTGAAAATTCCCTTTTCAACTGATGAGTTCAGGACTGAAGGTTCTCTTTCAAATAGGGTGAACACACTAAATTTGCCACCAAAAGTATTGTTTATCTGAGCTTAATCTTCTCTCATGAACTCTTCAGAAGACACACAAATAGTATGAGAAGTACTAGAGTTAACACTGAGTTTGATACTCAGTTTAGAATCCAGTTGCCTAAATATAGGCAGCTCCTGCCATTGAGACTCCTAAGACACAGTGTTAGAAGACAGTGGAACAAAATATTTGGGAGGCATTAATTGTCTTGCAGCATGGGAAAGACAAAATACCTTTACAGCATAAAAAAATCCCATACTTTTTGTGGTATGTTAGTTAAATACCTGTTGACTATTATGAGAATCCAGACACCCTGTGTCTCTGTACCCATTTAAATACTAAATGTATGTGTCTTAAAGTGAATCCCACCTACATATAACGCTTCATCAATGTTGTCAGTCAGCACTATTTTAAAGAAAATGGCAATTCTAATAAAAAAGATTGAACACATTTCTTAGGTCAAAGAACTTACATAAAAGCCACCAACAGTTAGCAACACTGTCATCATCCTTATTAGAAAAAGAAACTTAGTTTGCCTATAAGGGAAAAACTTGAGCAAGGACATATAATGAGTATTAGTTCCAAAGAACACTGGGTGCAGTAGCAGAGGAAGCCTCAGAAGTGTATCTTCAATGCACTTGCATGTCTAAAGGACAAAAGTTCAGACAGCTTTCAGAAGCATATCCCATCTGATAGGGACATAACAAAGATAAAAAGAGAGGATGTATGGATAAGTTAATGAGACTCCTGTAATGGAAAGCTTTTGGAGTCAATGAACAACATCAACAACAAAGGTATGAACACAAGACTGCTTGGGAAAGACAAAGGGAGAAGTAAGCAAGGTCAAGTTGGCTAGGAAGGAACCAGAAATGAACAGTAATGGCCTAAAGATATTCAAGGACTGTAAATACTAACTAAAAAGAACTATTTAGGGTGATGTAACTGAGCATAATGGAATTCAACTGCAAAAGGAAAAATTAACTTGGTGTTAGGAAAACACTCTGAAAGGTCTTCAGACCTCTTGTGGTAGTTTCTTGCAGAAAATTTTTAAAGCACATCTATCTAAAGTATTACAAGACAAGGCTTCAAACTCTTTTCATGAAATACATTACATCTTAAAGAACAGAAATTGTTGTAATTATGCAGACACCTATCCATGTTTATTATTTCTGTATTTCATTACACTTTTCTCCATTAGCTACTCCATCATCTGCCAAGGCTTTCATAATTCAGAGCCCTTAGCAGTATATTTTACCTAAACACAATGTTCTCAAATAGCACAGAGGAAAAAACCAACAAGATCATTAAATAAAATATTGTAAATCCAGCTTTAAAAGTTCCCAAGCTTCAGGCTATTGGGAGATAGGATGATGTACCAAGGGAGTCCAACTTCCTGCTAACTGTTTAGATGTTCATCCTTATCATATCCTCTGCCTTTGGCAGCTGCTGCAGGTAGTGATGTGGTGTTTTGTCTGAACTCTACAGCTGTCTCTGCAGCACAAGCCAGCACCAGGCATCACTCTGATTCCAGACTTGTGGGTGTCAGGGAAGGCATTACATGACTGTATCAGAACAGAGCAGAAAGATTTCCTCTAACAATAAAAAGGCCACAGTATTACTGAAGAACACGTATTTTCCTGGAATTGAGAGCAGCACTTCACAGCTGAATTATCAGTTCTGTCTACGAAAATTTTCTGAGAAAAGTAGCTGCAGAGTTTATAACAACTTAAATCCCAGTCAAGACATCCAGTAGCACAGGGAATTCTATGTATATGTGAAACTATTACCCATTTTTCTTCCAAAAGTATTGCTGAAATAGCTCATCATTGCTATTATAGTAAGTACATCATAAAAGATTTGGCCTCCAGTTGGTCACCAAATATTAATCTAGGTAATACAGCTGTAATAATGTTCCATAATCTTTTAAAACATATATTGGAATGATCAGAAATTACTTATTATGCGAGGCTTTTGATACCTTATGAACTCCTTATCTGCTTGTATCAATAAAGTTAGTCTCACAATATTTTTTTTTGTAAAATGCTTATTTTTTCTCATTTCTTATTTTATTTTCTTGTACATACTGTAAAGGCAAGGCAAATTGTTCCAAACTTTCATGAGTGAAACTAGATGGAATACTTGAAAATTGTCCAGATTAGCCAGCTGCATGGTTCATAGTTCAAAATTGACAAATGGGTGGATTTTTTAAATTTCTGTCAACAGATTGATAACCTATCACCTCAATTAACCACAAGTGATCACTGCATATATTCTGATAATTTACTTTTTCCTTTAAATTGAGTTTTTCCCCACTACATACAAAGCATCCTTTGGAATAAAAAAATGGTTTTGTGACCACACAGTTAGGCTGCTGAGTGCTTCCAGGACCAGCAATCACTCCAACTGCTTCTTTCTGATTAATAATGTTCATGAAAATGAATTCCATTTGAGACTCAAATATTGTTTTTTATCCTTGCACTTATTTATCAGTGCTTTTCTCTTGATGAGACAGTTTAATAATTTCAGGTTCTAAATTATTTTTTATTATTGAAAAAATTTATTTTCATTATTTATGCTTCTCCCTTTCACACTTTTTTACAGTTCCTTTAATTGATCTTTTCCGTATGTATCAGAACATAAACAGAAGTGGCAATTAAAGGAAAAAACAAAGCTACTCTAATCAAAACTAATAAAAAAAATAAATATTTAAGAAATTATGAAAATAAGTCATGTTTATGTTCAGTTCCCCAAATATTAGACAATTTTACTGGATAACATGAGGTAAACAATTATGTTCTGGTAAGACTGACAGTATTAATAGGAATTGTTTTCAATTTTTCTGGACTAAAACTAACATCAAGTATTAGAACAATCTACCCAGCCCACAAACAAACTAAATTTTATTATATGTTTTACTCTAAAATCAGTTTCATATAGTAATACAAATGCATGCCTAAAACCTTTCTCAGAGGAAGAAACATTTTGTTGACCAGTTACACTCTTCCAAGAAAATTAATAACAGATAGCCAAACTGGAAAGACTTTAGAGAAGAACATAAAAATGTGCTTGGGAACAGAAAAGACTGACTTTTCAGGAAAAGCTTTTCATGCAAAAGCCATTTGATTAAACAAGACTGACTACACAACTACCTGTAAGCCTATGGTGCTGTCTGAATTAAAAGTTTGTTTCTCAGAGCTCCCCAGGACATGAAACTAAAAAGATTCAGATGAGTGAAGTTTCCTCAAACAAAAAAATCACTGACAGTACAAAAAATGTGTTAGTCATATTAGCCAACACACAAGTAAAATAGAAAGAAGAAGACAGAGAGAGGAATCTGTTTTCCTGTACAGTGGATCTAAAGGGTCTCTCACCATTCACAGCTAAAAGGTTGCCTGGAATGTACCCAAGGACTGTAAGGAAAAATAATGTCCTGGCAAAAGGTGCAGATGATCTAATTGTTTTGCAATTATGTCTTCACAAAGAACAAGTGCAAAAACTACAACTGATATTTCAGAAACATTCCTCGGTTAATAAAGCTATAGGATTTAGCTGCAAGCACTTCAAGTAAGTTCTTCAGCAAAGTGATACAATTTATCCTGTAGTGGAGCTTTTTGATTTTCATTCTGAAATACTCTGGTAATCTTTTTTATGTTTAGAGAATGCCCATCTATGCACATTATGACTCATCTGCAGAAAAAAATAAGCCATTACTGCCAGATTACAAAGTTATAGTAGGTCTACAGTATCAATCTATTTCTCCTTCATTATTCCTGCTGTTACAAATGCCAGTGTTTATGGGAAGATAGATAGCCTTGAAGTGGAAACCTGTTCATTAAAGTATTAAAGAATCATAATTTCTATAACAGTACTCTTGTAGCTGACCAGATGCTTAAGAAATGAAGTCTTAATCTATTTGTTTAAAGAGAGAAGAAAAACTGCCATTTCCCTGCCATTTCCAATATCCAATCAATTCTGCCTTCATTAAAGCTTACATGATATCTCTTTACTTTGAAAAGTATCAGACTTAGCTGAAGTAAAGGCAGCTCTGCTATGCTTATCAATATTTCAAATCTGTTTCCAGAAATCAGCATAGTCAGACTGTGATGGACACCTCCCACGCAAGCCCGTGTTCAGTTTGTATACCAGTCTTTTATAGGAGATCAGAACTGCTCTTCATAAGCTTAAGAACCACCAATTATCAATTGAAAAGTTATTCTGATTAAATACACTTCCCTGTCTTAGAATACTTTAAAACCTGTATTTTCAGGATTGTGGAAAATCAAAACGCAGTATTTTAAAGCACTGATAGTTTCAATAGAGATTGTCTTCTCTAGCTCTTGTTCAAAAAGCCCCTAAATTTAATAGCTACCAAAAGCTGTTTAAGAGCAAAAGCATAAAAACATTTTATATCACATTTGCTTGTGGACTGATGAAAATTCATGTACACACTGCTCATCTGGACCATGAGGGTTAACCATGCTCCTAGAAGTCCTATATTTTAAAACAGGGAAATCTTCAATTTTTAGAAACTATTACATTTTTTGTTTTCAGCATCTATTTTCTTCCTGTTAAACTAAATCTGTTTACAAATGGAATTGCCAGATATATGAATATATGATACATATGATATATGAACCAGTTTGGAATTAAAAAATATTTATATTTTTAACATTTTACATATATACCTACATATTTTGGTGGACTACTTGTAGGTAGCTTACAGAGCTAAATTATATGAACCAAGGAGAAAGCCCTAAAAAAAATGGATAGGATTTCAAGCGATCCAAAGTGCTTTCTAGTGAACAAATTCTTAAGGAGTAAAGACTGAAGGTAGCAACATAACTGCTGAAAAGTAATGCAAAGACCAACAGGAGCATTCATAACCTGTTCTCTGCTTTAGAACAGTACCCAACTCTAATATTTACAGTATTTTACCTTGAAACAAAAGTTATGTGATTGACATATTCATACAACAGTTACATAGAGATAGTGCTTAAATGACATTCACCGTTTCAAATGTAGACAAAATCATCTAAATTTCAAAAATCTGGTATCAGTGTTCCATGTTTTTTCTCCTGTTAGTTTTACATTTACAATATATGACTAAGGTTTAGTACTCACAGGCTTACCATCTGGACCAGGCAGACCAGGATAACCATGATTCCCAGGCTGTCCAGGGTCACCCTGTGGAGAAGCAACACATCAACACACAAAACACATAAGCATTTTAAAACTGTTAAGATTATTTTATCTGAGAGATAGATAGATAGATAGATAGATAGATAGATAGATAGATAGATAGATAGATAGATAGATAGATTTATTATATTTACCTACAAATCCAGAGACCTACTATTGAGGAGCAATTCCTACAGTGAAAAAGAACTGATTTTGGCAGGGGGGGAAATTCTCCCCAACTTCTTGGGCAGTACTTGGACAAGTGAGTCCACACTTGGTTACAGAACAAGTTTGACCCATCAACTTAAAAGCTTTCGAGTCCTTTAACACTTTAATGAACAGAAATAGAAACACTTTTTATCAAATAATCTTTACTAAAACTTCATTAATGAAGCAGCTCTTTTCTGAAGAAATCTTAGCTGAACCTAATTCTGAAGATAAAAGCAATAAAGGAAAGAGCCAGGATTAAAACATGCAAAATAATTAACTCCTCTCCACACATCAATTGCTGTCGAAAAAAGATACTTTTTACATTTCTTCTTAAAGGTCCTTTGCAATTATTTTGATAATCACTGTTACAATCAGATTAAAGTAAAAGAAATGCTTGCCATGGCTTCATGTTCATGGCAAGAAAGCGGGAACTTAACATCCTACTCAGTAAACCCTCCTAGAGTATTGACTGTCTCTATTTTACTAACAGCTTTGATTTGAACCCAGCAAATTCCAGTAAGACTTGACCTCTAAATCATTTTACTTCTGCAGGGGTGTTAAGCAGGTACTTATTTCTTCAGCCTGAACCATCAACAGACCTGTGGGGCAGTTACAACTGCAGAATTGTTATAAATAGGGAAATAAACATTAGAAGGGAAACAGGAAACTAGCTTTTAATGTGACTGTGAAAAAACATTGTTTCACATATAAACCTCAGAAGTGCAATGCTGAACTAAGTGGATAGAATAGAATAATGTGAATAGAATAATATAGTTTTTGAAAAGCGTAACAGTTATCATTTGCTAAATTAGTAGTAAGTTACCCAGGATAACTGTTCAAATTAAGAAGTCCAGGTTTGGGATTTGAGCAAAAAATAAATTTGTTTTCAAATATACAATTTAACTGTGAAATTTTGTGCTTTTAACTTGAAAAGCTCAAAATATCAGTTACTTGTATTTTGAAACCTCTTTGATTTAATTCTATTTCTTCTACTCCATTAATATCACAAACACAAAAATTAAGTTTAAATTCATATGGTTCTAGAGTCCAGTATTCAAAAGTTCATAAATACTATAAGATATAGTATTTTAGATAACCTATTCAACCATAAATTTGCTTCCTTTTCACTTTCTGCAGCCTTTTGTGTTAGGCACCATCCTGTCACCTGTACTACTCAATTAATCCCAAAGAAAAATTACAGTGTATTGTAGCTGAAAAATTGCACATAAGGCAATAGGTATATGTCATCTGAGTTCTGGAATTTCATAATCCTTTCTTCCTTTAGAAGAAGCTGTTTTCAGTTCTTTTAAAATTATAAATACTTCATTCTCTCTCCCTCCTTTTTTCTCTAATATGGTAAAAAGAGAATAAAAAAAGGTCAAAGACCACAGAAATTCAATTTACATGGAACAATAACAATAATCTTTCTGTGGCAGACTTCAATTCCCTGATCAGAAACTTTTTCCACTGTATCAAGAAGCCCTTTGATTTGAGGTAGCTACAGCATGCTGCAACCTCTTTTATGATGACAACAGAGGTTTTTATTCATTTGCTTAATGCAAGAAAAGTGATTTGGGGTTTTCTTGTCTGCACTTATAAAAAATTCTGTAAACACTGCTTAGCACAGTTATTGAGAAAGGTACTAATACAAATACTGGGGATTTGAGTTTCCCATATAAGACTTCTGCAACTCAAGTCTAATTCTCAGTTTAGTTCTACATCAACACAGAAAGGAGGTCATCAGCATAGCTAATGTGCAACTCTCCCAGTAAGCATCTAGTCCATTCTTTTACAAAGAAGGAAGAAACCCTACTCTTCATTAAAAGACTTTTGTTAGAAAATCATTTAATCCTCAAACAGTTAACAGTGCAACATCATTTGCTGAAGAGTAGCAGGGAAACACAGGTCATATACACTCAACAAGACAGAACAGAGACTTACTTTGGGGCCTGGAGGTCCTTGCTTTCCTGGTGGGCATATGCAGGGGGCAGGTGTTGAGCCTACGTCACTGGGACCATTCATGCACTACCAAGAGTGAAAGCAGCCATCAGCACACATGCCAAAGGCAGCCAACAAACATCGGAACACTACGTGATGCTGACTTTCCTTAGGCTGCCTTTCACTTAGGTCTTGGCATTCACTCCCTTGTTCAGCTGGAACTTCTGCTCATCTGAATATTGCCCTCCAACTACTTTCCATGCACAAAATCATTTTATCCAGAATAAAAATTTTAAAAAGTAAGTACTGATATTGGGCTGATACCTGTAACTTTGTTTTTTCACAAATATTTGGCCAAATAGTTTGATAATTTTAAATCTTGCAACATGAAAGTTGCTTCTCCTAGCTAATCTATTTTCAGAATTTAAAGTGTGATCAATTCTCAAATATAGCAATTTAATCAAAAAATATGTAGAATGATGCAGTACATAATATGCATAGTCTAACAATCCCAACCATTGGCATGCTATCATGTGTAGTGAAAAGAAGATAAACCCCAAGTCTCCTACCTCCTAGGCATGTGTTCCTTCCACTATGAAGCTACTTGAGGAGAGGCAGGACTCTGCTTCTACCACTGGCTCCTAGAGGTCACTAGTCCTGGTCCCAAGAGTGCCCATCCTACAACGACCATTAGATAACCTCCACCAAACCATGCTCCCTGCAGCACTAAACACTAAACATGCCAGATCACATAACCCTCTAGAATTTCCTTCTGGTTTTGTGATATTTACTTCTCACCATTAAGCCCCACATGAAACCTCAGTGCTTTATTCAGGCAGGAAAGGGGAGAGCTACTAAATCAAGTACCTCTGTACTAAATCTCTATGTTGAAATTAGATTCAGTAAATTCTTTTTCACCCATCAACTCTAACCCAGAAAGTTCTTAGACCTATGAAAAGGCAAAAATTTAATAATCCAAGTTAAAAAAAAAGAGATTTTAAAATTAATTATCTAAAACTTTCCACAGTACTTTATTCATATTTTCTAGAATAATGACACCTTTTAAGATGTTTCTTGAATGGAATTATTCTTCAGAGTCACAAGATTGATCAAAATACAAACCATGTTTCCTTTTCAATGGTGCTAGTTGGGAGTTACAGGTAAGGTTAGGGAAGTCTAAGGGTTAGTTAAGTCTTCAGATAAGCTCCTGTTCAGGGAGTTCCCATCAGCACAATGCAGGCAACAGCTACCTGACCATGCATATCCCCCATTCCCTTGCAAATAGCAGCAACTGAATTGAACTGGGGGAAAAATCAGACCATTTATCCTAATAAACATGTGTTTTTTCAGAAAAATTACTTTTAATTTTAATTTACTACTGCCTAGAGTTCAAGCAAGGGAAGTCCAGCACTCTTATGCTTAGCAAATCTTTGTCCCCTTTTGAAAACAAAGTGTGTATTACCTAGAATAGTAAGAAGCTTATAAAAAGTCAAATACTACCTTAAACTGAGTTCAAGTAGCTTAGGATCAAGCCTACCTCTCCATTCTGAAACAAGAAGAAACACAGTTTGAGAGTACAGCAATATTTCTAAAAAGAAAATCCATTCATTCTGAAACACTATCAAAACCAATCATAACTTCTGAGCTGTAACTGTCAAGAAATTGTAATTCAAACGTTTAGACTTTCTGAGACTTATGTGCAGATGCTATTAATGCATATGAAATTAATTTAGTTAACTGTGTTTAAGGGTCTATCAATAGGAGTAGCAATTTTTAAAAGGTAATGGCAGAATTAATACTAAACCATGTCAGTATTTACACACTAAATATTTAGATTTGAGTCAAACCTTTTACCAGAAGTAACTTCTCATCAAAAATATCCTCTGCTTGTTCATTCATGTCAGAGAATGTACCAAAATATTTCTGAAATCTCTGCCTGAATCCAGCATCTGGGAAAACACAGAGCAGCACAGAGGCAAGGCTGGCTTTTTCTCACTTTCCTGTGACTGCATTAGACTCTGCTATCAACTGATTTTTGTTCCAGTATCTGCAACACCACAGAACAATCCAACCCCAAATACTTCAGCAGTACAATCATGAAATTGTCTTCCTTAATAGTTTAGTAGGCACACCATTAGCTGCACTGTCCACAGGAATATTCTAATATATGTAGTCACTGCAGATTTCATACACAGAATGATGCCTAGAGAGACTGACCTGGAACAGAGGCTAGACAGAGTTAAAGGAATAAAGTAGGTATTTATTAAAAGGCCTTTAAAGGGTACACCTTGGGTGGTACAAGAGCCTGGCCGGGGCTCTGCCCAAGGTGGACCCAAGATGGACACAAAACTATAAAAAGCCTAGCATGTTCTAACTCGTCAAAATATTTGTCCTCACATATATGAGATATCAGGCTTGATATGAACTTCTTATCAAAGCTACGAAATTCAGGCCATGTCTCATCATTTCTAGTTCATACATTGGCCACATATTTTCTGAGAGCCTGGTAAGTCTCGATTTAAAAAGCAAAAATTCTCCGCTGCTCAATCCTCCCCAGTTTTTCAATACTAACCCTAAAGGGCTGGAATTTTGCTATTATACTCACAGGAGAATACACACCTCACCTTAACACTTATGAGTAAGTAACCAGGGAAAGACAGAGTGCAAGCACGAATGAGATGGGATTAGGACTCCAAACCTTGAGAGCAGCAGCGCTGGAGCTGACCCGCTGCACCACCGCTGGCCTCAGGCCAACTCTCACCACTCCAGTGCTGGAGCTCTGCTACCGCAGAGAACACCCTCTCCTACTCCAGCAGAAGAGATGGAGAGCAAAAGCAGCTCCACCTGGACCCCCTAGGGTCCTTCCACACTAAACAAAACTACAAGAGATCTCTTAACACCTAACTCGGATGCTGGAACAGAATACCACCTTTATTCACTTACTCGCGTGCCTCTGTGCCAGACCAGAGGATTCCTGGGCTCTGACACCTCCTGGACCGCAGCTGGGCCTCTCTGGGAGTGCCAGCAGGAGTGAGGGGGCAGGAGCCGGGTGTTCCTCTGCTCCAGGGGGTTTTCCAGATGCCTTCAGTCCCTTTGCGGCGTGCCAGAACTGATGTGCTGGATGAGCTCGAAGTCCCCCTGGGGCTGTGCCGGGACAGGCCGCACACCCGCCCGCCACCGCTCACGGTGCCAGGGGAGGCCCCGCTCGGCCGCAGCCCGCGGGCCCCAGGCAGAGACCACAGACAGGGAGCGAATGCGGCAGTCCCGAGAGCACAGCCCAGCCCGCCAACAGAGCGCCCACACTTTGATAAGAAGTTCATATCAAGCCTGATATCTTATATATGTGAGGACAAATATTTTGACAAGTTAGAACATGCTAGGCTTTTTATAGTTTTATAGTTTTATCATGCCAGCAAAGTCCATATCGTGTCCATCTTGGGTCCACCTTGGGCAGAGCCCCGGCCAGGCTCTTGTACCACCCAAGGTGTACCCTTTAAAGGCCTTTTAATAAATACCTGCTCTATTCCTCTAAATCTGTCTAGCCTCTGTTCCAGGTCAGCCTCTCTAGACATCAGTTCCTGTCCCAGTTTCCTCTGTGTTCAATTTTCAGCTTAAGCAACCCCTAGGGAAAGTTTGCATTTCCGATGGATCATAGAAAGATCATCTTAAAATTACTATGCAGCTAGATATCTCTGGGAAAAGGGATTAATTTGGGCTGTAATTAGTACAAAAAGCCTCTGCTTATTTCAGGAACTCTGACACAACCACACTGACAGAATACAACCACAAACCACATATTCCTCCTTGAAGATCATCCAACATTTTTAATTTCTGAAGGAATCCAGAACTTCATGGGCAAAGTCCAGATTTAATTTACAAAAACAGTCAGTGAAACTAAAATGGTGAAAAGCAATCTTTTGGCTTCAATTCCTTGATAAATTGCAGAGAACATAAGATAGGAAACACTTTTTAGTGCTTGCTTTCTTTATGCAAAATATTTTTCATTTGATTACTTTTCATATCCTACTTTTAATTCAATTAAATGGCCATATACTTTATTTTTTCAAGATTCAAAGCTAATTTTACAAGTGCTCCTGCACCTGTTAGTTCTTGAGTCAGAGTTCAGAACAGTTAATAATCCATTCACCTACTTGCTGCTTGATTGAAAGTTGAAAAAGCCCTAATAATGATGCAATCAACACACTGGCCCCAAAGAAAAATTAAAAAAAAAAACAGACTTGCTGGCAATATGTGCCAGTCTGACAAAAAAAAGAAAATCTGGATGCTGGAGGTTCAATGGTTCTATTGTCAAACCAGCAAAATGCTACTAAATCAAATCACAACATGAAGAATGTGGGTATACATAGTAAGACACTGGTAGCTGATAATCTTTAGCTGTTTGTTTTAGCCACCAAACAAAGGAGAGTATTTTGAATCTGTATGTTTAAATCAATCTCTTGCTTATGCTTTGAGATGGGAACTGAATCCTTAAATCCTGCTCTGTCAGTCACGTCTAGTTTCCAAATCTGTTTGTATATGTTTTACATTGCAGTGCAAAATTAACTGTAAGATGACCGAGAGGGCCAAAGGGTCCCCATAAACTTGCTAATTGTGTACATGAATCATAAAGTCATAAATTTCTGTCTGTACTTAAAATACTTCTTCAAATTGTGGCAACATTTCAAATAATGGGATATTTATCACAGACCTTAGTGATATTTCTCAGCACAGATATTTCTAATGGGAGAAGATGATTTAGATATACAGATTTGCTGGTTATGTACCAAAATTTCACAGATTATATGTCCTGACAAGTAGCAAGGAATATATAAGAAAAGTTCAAAAGTCATATTTAAAGAATTTTACACTGAAAATACCTAGGAGTTTTATTATTCTATAATGCTTAAAATCTGAAATTTTAAGAGAGAATTCTGAGATCCTTCTATACTCATATATACCGAATTTACACCATTAAATACCTAAACTAAAACAACTTGTAAAAAACTTTGTGAGAAAATAAGGCTGAAAGCAGACAAGATCCGTGTCACTTGATATTGCAAAGGTAACAAACGTGTTTGCATCAGCTGAATCAATGTAGTATAACTTATTTTAAAACTTCATTAAGTCAGCTTTAAACAGTGATATTTTAAAAAATGCTAATTAGTCCTCAAAAGTTCATCTATCATACTCACAAATCCTGGGATCTCACAGACTGTTTCTCGGTTATTTTGCTCTGGGTCACAGTAGATTCGCAGTTTTTGTATATCAAACTGTAATTCAAAACATAAAAGACTCTTTTAGAGCTCTTAGCATTCACTACAGTTAAATATCAATTAAGTATACAGAAATATTTTTAGGCTACTCAAAATTATTAATATATGCAAGCAAGTAAAAATACTGTAACAGAATTAATTAAATAAAAATAACCAATCCAAGAATGTTTTAAAAATAACAGAAATCACCATCCATATTCCCTGGGAATTAATCCAAACATATGAAACACAAACTACACTGGCTGCCAATATCATAAAGGAAACAAGATAATAGCACAGGCAAGCCCAACCTTTCTTTTTACCTTAACAGATGTGGGAAGATACTTCTACACAGACCTGCACGTATTAGATATAGCAATAGTAAATTCTGGTGAAGCATCTGACGGCATCCCTAACACTTACATGTTTAGTATACAATATAAATCTTTAAAAAGCATTGAATAAAAACACTGGCATCAGGTAAACAAAAGGTTTTGCCATTCTGCTTTGTCACTACATTCCAAAACAAAATGAAACCACTGTCAGGTTTTCTAGCATAAACTATCATGACTGCAAAGCAAGGAGAAAGAAACTTGACCAACATTTTCCTCTTTTACCAGCATCACCCATACATACACTGATGGAAGGACAGCAGATGCAAATGTCAAGCAGAGGAAATTCCGTACTTTGAGACACTGTTTCCCAAATTCAGGCAACCACATTGCATCAATATTTTCCTTGGAATCAGTGAGACCAGTTAAGCATCCATGTCACAGAATACATCACTTGTGCAAAGTCCTCCTGATCTTTATTCTCTCTTAACTATTACAATTTTGTATACTAAATCTCAATCTCCTCTAAGTTAGAAGAGTAAGCTCAAAAAAAAGAAGCCACCAATGCAATGTTAACCTACAACAGAATTACTGAATTATTGTAGTATTAGCATATGCCTACCTGTACCGTTTCCTCCTTTCCAGAATACTTTCCTATTTGGGTTAGGCCGCTGATGTAAATACCTAAAACAGGATGTAATGGCTTTGTTTCAATTTCTTGGCCATCTATATACAAAGTTACAAAGTCTTCTGTTACTAAGAGACGAATTTGATGCCAGCCTTCATCAAACAATGTCTAAGAAAAACAAAGAAAACAGCACTGTTGAAAACAAAATGCCTACAATTTAAATAAACGATAAAATTGCACTTCTATAATCAAATTGTTGTTAATAGTCGAGATGATCAAGGCTGCAGGTTTTATATACAAATAATTCTAAATTATATAGGCAAATAAAGTATTGCCAAATAATATTGTAGTTGAAAATATTACAATTGGTAATAATTAATCCCTATTTCAGAATTATTTTATAACTGACATAGATGATTTTTTTAAATCTATGACCTTGAACATGCTCAAACTTGTATTTGTTAAATATATGCATCCAGAAGTCTGTTTATCAGCAGTGGTATAATGTCTCAAACACTTCAGATCATCATGGTGAAATAAAATTGGTACTTGTGATAAATTGATAACTGATAAATTATCATAAAGGTTTATTAAAGAAAAATGTTCATTAAGAGTGTATTAATATTTATACTGTGTTTAGAGACACACAGGTCTAAAATTCCATTACATTATTGTTCTCCATAACAGCAAGTCAAGCATGGAGGAACAAAAACAAACAAACAAACAAACAATATAACCCACAAAAGTTGTGTTTTCATGGTGAAGTTCATGGATAGCTGAGACTTCATGAATAAGATTGATTTGTCTGTGCAGCTCCAAGGAATAGATAAATACAAATTGATTATTAACTTGAAACTGAATTCCCAACAATTTCCAGTAAATCAAGTATAACATAGCTTCTTAAAAAAACAAAAAAAAATATTTTGCCTACTAATAATTATTAAAAGGTAGAGGAAATTTGGAAAGAAAAAGAAAAAACTCTCCATCCAGTAACAGAAGACTAAAATACCTCTGCCTAGAAAAAGCTTAGTAGTTAAGACGTATTCCTTGGATAGGAGTCCTTCCTTCTATAAGGATTTATATTTAAAATTCCTTCAGCCTGATTTGGAGTAGGGATTTGAATGCAGGCCTCTGCTTCCCAGAAAAGTTGAACTCCCTTGGCCATGAAGTGCTCCAGCAGCAAATCTTTCCCAGTCTTTGTCTGCTGAATTAGCCCACTCTGTTCACTTAAGTAATACTCCCTGTGGCAGGAAGGACAATCTCTGCACATATTCCTGCTACAAATGCAAGAATAGGGTCATTCAATCTCCATTCCTCTGTCTCATCTGCAGCTAAGACAATCTTTCTTAGGAGAGTGGAATACTTCACCGGAAATTATTGAAGAAAGACTGAAAGACGACCTTCAGATTGTACAAGAAAACAGTAAAACTAGTTTCTTCAAAGAGGAAAATACTGGAATAATGGGTACTTAAAGATGTAATCCAGCATGATAGTGACATACTCCTTACCTTTACATGAGGTGCAGCAAATGTAATAACTTGTGTGCCATTTATTAAACTTGTTGTAGTGAATGATAGTGTTTTCTCTTCTCCATTAACAGTGACTGCTATCTGTGGTCTCTTATCTAGACTCAGAATTCTCCACAAATCCCATGTCTTTTTTACTTTAAATCTTTGAGTGGAAACAAACACATAGGATGGAGGGAGACCTTCTGGAAACACATTCCTAAATAAGGGGGAAGGGTAGAAAAACAAGACAGTACTTGAACATTCATATAAACCTTCTCACTTAAAGAAACAAAAAAACCCGTACTGAATATAGAAGCATATTTATAAAATTCAATACCTTGTTAATTCTGAGAGATCAACACGTGAGGTTACTTCATAAGCTTTTGCATTAGTAGTAGATATTTGAATTCTCTTTTTAACTTTTTTCTTCACACCTAATCCTACAAGAATGTCAAATCCTTTTTCATCTCGAGCTGCCACTGGAATTCTTGTCGGACAAACAGATTCTGCAAAGTAATAAAGGCAAGTACAGTCCAAAATATGACTTAAAACTTCCAAGAAAAGTAGCCTCCCACCCAATTTTTTTTATCTGCCTTTCAAGAAAGAAAAGAGAACTGAGAACTGTCAGTTAAGTACAACATGAGAGAAGTGGTATGCAGGATCCTCAGGGACTTGGAAGCAAGAATATTAAGATGTCATATTTTACTGCAATTACACTCACATGCTATTTTGAATTTTCACTAATTGTAGTTAAAGTGTATTGCAACATCTGGTAATAAATATATTGAATTTCATTTCTAAAATTGCATGGTTCCAAAATTATATAAAATTATAGATGTTAATTTCCAAAATGCACTAACAACTTGAATCCCTCCCAACTATAAAATCAGTTGGAAAATGAACAAAGTTAAAATTATCTCTTTTATTTTCATTTTATTTAATTCAAAATGGACTCTGAGTTGTTTTGTCTGTTACACTGAAATCTGCTTGAAGTTATTTTCACTGGAAAAACAGTGTGTGATATATTTTCTGTGGAAGCGTAAGTTAGCTGCACGTTATTTTGGTTAATAATCTTTAAACAAAATAATCCAAACAAAAACAGTGGACCTAAGTTGTCTCAAACAAACAAAAAAAAAGAGATAGGACAGTGAAACTTAATACTAAAACAAACATTAGGGTAACAAATCAATGAAAAGAAAGCTTTTTGTTTTATTAAAGTTAAGCTAAACTGTTTACAATAAGTATCATTATTAATTTCCCACTGTTTCTTCAGAAAAGCAACAGTTCATAGACAGGGAAGTGGTTAGGAATACGTTCCAAAGAAAGGGTGGTGAGTTCTATCACCATCTGGACCAGCTATGGGCTGCAAAACTCCTGTCTCTGTTCCAGGGAATTATCAGCTCAAAAGTCTAGACTGGCTTCTTTTCCTAATATGAGCAACACTGCATGACTTCCCTTTCTAACCAACCCCAGGGCAGTCAGAAGCTACCCCATTCTGGTGAAGGAGACAGGATATATATGCTCTAAGAAAATTCTGCTAATTTTCTGCACAGCCTGTCGCTGGAAAGGACAATCCATCCTAAGGGGACATGTCACAGGTACTCAGGGCAGCAGCAAGAAGCCGCCTGAACTCCCCTTAGTTTTATTTTCCTTCCCACAGCAAAATGACAACTGACTTCCAAATTAAAAATAAATTATCTGTCTGTTCTGCAAGAAAAAATTATACTGCCCACATTTTGGAAATTAAGATGTCTACTGCCTGAATACTTAAAAAAAGAAAAAGAAATACGAAGTTCAACAAATCTTCTCATTCTTCTCAAAACACAGATTTAAGTCAACATACTTAGGCTATTAAGTAAGAGTAATAGCACTTTTTTCAGATTTATTCAGGTGTGCATTGTTATCATGGAACTCTTTTCTCAACTAATTTTTTGCAAAGCTGGACAATGGACATATCACAATTAACAGATTACAGATAATCACATACATATACACTGACAAGTACAGGGTCTCTTATTTGGTGTAAAATTAAAAACTAAAGGCAGAAATAGAATACTATATGATAGTATATAATAGGAATACTTTATGTCAAAGGGCCATTATTACGGATCAGGGCCAAAATAACTGTTCCAAACCAATACCAACCAAACAAATTAAGCATGTGTAAAATCACACATTAAGAAATTATTTTTCCTTTCCACTGGCACACTGGTGAATTACATGAAACATTCCCAGTCAGGTAGATCCAGTCTGGGTCTTGTGGATAATCTTCTGGCAGGACTATTTTGATAACTGAGCCATAGTACAGCATGGAGAAATCAGTGGTAAAATTGAGAGCTGTCTTCCATTGGAAATGGCACTGTATTTCCAGTCCATAGTACCAATCCGTTCAACTCTCTAGCCTTTTCTGAAATCTTGTTGCCTTTTAGTGTTTTTACATAGTTTTTAGATGCTTACTTTCCTTCCTAAAGCATACAATAACTTTATGATGTTAAATCTAAGTATCTTTGACAAAGCAACTTTTCTCTGCATCCTCCAGACAAAATTCTGAGGTCTGCATTGGTTTTTCTTTCTAAATATATTCCTGACACACTATTTTTTTTTTTTTCCTATAGCATATTGATAGTACAGGAACATTTGACATTCAGAATAAATAAATATTTAATATTCCTAAAATATTTGGTTCAATTCTGGATGACAGGTTCAGGAAGTCTTTTTTCCCCTGATGTACTCTAAAACAAACACTAGAGTCCCCAAAAGGCACACTAGATCCCGCCACCTGCAAGCCTGTTCCCAAGAGCAATACTTGCTCCAAGAACCCCCAGACCTCAGCCTCCATTGTCCAGAAAAGAGATACTGCCCCTGTGGTCTTTTATATATGTTAACTTAGGAACTGATTTTAAAACTCCTTAGAGTCAAAGCTAGCATTTTTTTAGGCATTGGCACAAAGACCACAAAGAGAGAATTGCAAAATTTTTGGACAGTTTCACATGGTTGATCACAGCCAAACCATTGCTGCTCATCCCTCATGGAACTTCCTCTCCCTCAGTCAAAGTGAATCTTAACAAGATGATAAACATTAAATAAATCAATAAATAAATAGATAAAATAATGCACAACTTAGCTATACAAATTCCAGTTTATCAGTCCTGGAGTTCACCTGCTAAAGACATTGTGGTTAGAAATGCTTCTCTGCAAGAGAAGCATCTAAATACTAAAACAAGGGATGTGCACGACATAAGAGAGATAAAGCAAAGGGTCACTTAAAGTGAAAGAGTAAGTACACTTTATAAAAATAGTCAACACTGACAGATTACTGCTATAAATCATGTGAAATACAACAGAAGAAATTTAAAGGATACTAGTTAACTTGATGCTGAAAGCTGAAAATCCATCCTGATGATTCTTCTAAAACTTTAAACTCTAAAACTTCTTCTAAAACTTTAGCAAAAAAGAAAATATGGTGTTTACTTAATTTATTTAGTTTATTTAGGGGAATTTCTCCCTGCATGAAGTTCTATTAAAGAATTTCGCTCTACTTAGATGATTTAATTTTTGGACTGACCACCTTACTACATCAGCCACAAGGAATTACTATGATTTTCATTTAATGTAGCAAGAAATAAACACTAATATCCTCAACAAAAGTATCACCATATTTTTTCAATGAAGTTGATACTCAAAGTGAGAGCAAACAAAATCTATTTTTCACTCACTTTAGTAAGTACAGAAATATGGTACAACTGAAATAGGACTTGCATCAATTCTTGATAACAAAACATTCACAAAAAACCACTGACATACTAGAGTCTGAGTGATATATTTCAGAAGCAACTTGCTGTCTTTTTTATACTTAAAAAAAAGCCATTGTTTTACAAAATTTCAGAAAACTCTGCATTAATGCTGTTAGCATTCTAAAATGAAAGAATTGCTTTACACTGTTGGTCTTGGCTAACTCTTCTATAAATTATTCTAAGAAACATCATAACTGCTTGCTACAACTCCAGACATCTACTCCACTCTTATGAATCCCTACCTGGAGTGCTGTGTCCAGCTCAGGGCCTCAACATAAGAAGGATGTGGATCTGCTGGAGCAAGTCCAGAAGAAGCCACAAAGTGAATTAGAAGGCTGGAGCCTCTCTCCTGTGGGAAAAGGCTGAGAAAGTTGGGGTTGTTCAGCCTAGAGAAGAGAAGGGTGTGGGGAGACCTTAGGACATCCTTCCAGTACCTAAAGGAACAACCTTACAAGGGAGCTGGAGAGAGACTTTTTACATGGGTTTGTAGTGACAGGACAAGAGAGAATGGCTTTAAACTGAAGGAGGGTAGGTTTGGATTAGATATAAGGAAGAAAGTCTTTACTCTCAGGGCAGTGATGCACTGGAACAGGTTTCCCAGAGAAGTTATGGATGCCCCATCCCTGGAAGTGTGCAAGGCCAGGCTGGATGGGGCTCTAAGCAACCTGATCTAGTGAAAGGTGTCCCTGCCCATGGCAAAGGGGCTGGAACTAGGTCATCTTTATGGTCCCCTACAATCCAAACCACTCTACAATTCTATTATTCCTGCCAGCAGTCTTTCTTCTGGGTTTTTCAGTAAATACTAGAAGTACATATTCAGAAGAATTCCTGTTGTAATGACAGGCTGTCCTCTCACCTCTCCAGAAGAAATGCTGGATTGTGCATGAGTATCAGTTGCAACCAGGAAATCAATCAAGTAAACTCTATATTCTCAGCACTATGAGAATTGCTAAAATATTTAAGTGTTTTTAAACTTTATCAATGAAAAAAAATTTGGCTTAGGGAAAAAGGATACATATTGAAATCAAACACATACTATGTTAAAACACTGTATCTTTCCCAAATATACCTCTTTGCTTAACAGAAAAAATAACATTTTAGGAGAAATTTCCACAAACAAGATCAAAAATAAAGATCATAGTAAAGAGTATCAGGTCCCTTATCTTACATTACTTACATTTCTGCTTGTGAAATTAAAAAATATGTGTACAAAACTACATTTCGCAAACCTAAAATATTTTATAATAACTTACCTTCACAGAGTTTTTGTTTTATAACTTCTTTAATTCTTGATATTGCAATATAGTCTTCAACATAAAATACATAAGTTGATGAAGGTTTATTGGCAATAGCTTTAAGTTCATCCTCCTCAATTTCTGAGCCAACACCGATTGCAAACAAAGTGATCTTATTTTTCCTTGCTTCTGCTGCTATATCTTTGACTTCATCTTGGGACTTTCCATCAGTGAGAACAACTGCTATTTTTGTTAAAAATCGTGAAGATTTTGCAAAAAGATGGTCAAAGGCAAACTGAATAGCTCTTCCTGTTCTTGTATTTCCTCCCAGATAGTGTATGGACTCCATTTCCCTGATGAGGTTCTCAGTGGATTCATGAGTTCCGAGGGGAATTTCAAGTACAGGGTAATCACTGTACTGGACAACTCCAACTTGAATAAACTTTGGCCCTATGTCAAAATTTCTTGTAATATTGACAAGCCAACTTTTTATTATTTCAAAGTTTTCTGGGCCAACACTGTAAGAGCCGTCTAAGATAAAAACTAAATCTGCTGGAGCAGTTCTGCAACCTTAAAAAGAAAAAAACCAAACATTTTAATGAACACTTTCACTTTCTTCCTCCACAGGAAATGTTTTTCCTATCAATTAGTGTTTATATTAGGATCTATATTGACAAACACATTCCAGCTGAAAAAGAATTAGCAGAGTTCATGAAGGCAAATTTGTGTAAGATTGTTTGTGTAAGCTACACAGACCCAGCTCGGTATCTGAAAGCCACACCATTTTCTGGTTTTTACATTAGCACCAAAAACAACTATGAAAAATTCTGGAATTCAGTTCCTTAGCTGGCAATTGCATTCCATTCAATAAACAGAGAGGAACCAGGTCTTTTCATATCTCATCTACAGAGATGATAAACATAAAAACTCTTTTTCATAAGCAAACCAAGCACACTGCAGAGGAAGACTATAGCCTGAATACTCCAGAATCCTCTTAAAAATACATTTTAATTGACGTAGACATTGCTGCATGGTACTTACAGAACTAGTTTTATAAAATCCTGAGTCTCAATTGAATGTTGCTGGTCGCATATTCTGATTTTTACAGATGAAAAGTATTCAGTGAATGAGCTCAACCTCCAGAATATAGAATCCATTAAGTATTTAATAACTATAGTGTAACTGCATGATGACTTAGGCATGGATTCAGCTCTCCTAGCTGTAGTCATAAACTGAGTTTTTGCCAACTACAGGCAATGGATAGACACGAGCATAGAAAAATCCTATCCATGCTACATGCCCATTCTCAGATGGAAGGAATAGCTTTCTAAAGGAGGGAATCACCTTCCATTGATTGTGAAAGAAGATTTGATAACTAACACATGAGGTGTCAAGGACATGGCCAAAAGCAGGAGGTATTATTTTGATCTTATGGCACATGAGGTCATGGGGCTTACTGTCTTTTGTTTTTTCAAAGTCTGCAGCTCCACCACAGGAAGGAGAGCTTTGCCTTACCCTGAAATCTGCCTACAGACACTTCTGGTCCAGACAAGATTTCACATTCCCTGAAAGCAAGTGGCCACAATCTGCTGGAGAAATGCTTTTGCAATGCAGGTGGTGGCGAAGAGATCCTTCTCCACTGGGAGAAGGATCAAAGGGCACACTGAATTCATTGCTCAGTTGGTCCAGGGACATGAATCACAGAGTAATTTCTGTTGGGAGGGACTCATTATCATTAGACTCTGCCAAAAGCAGAGTATTCATTCACTCCTAGACCAGGTAGACTGAAAATTAAAGTCTTTCTGAAGACAAAGAGGAATTTTATGGGGTTTGTTGTAAAATATTGAAAATTGATGGATTGAGAGCAAAACTAGAGGAAAAAGATCTACCCTGGAATTATCACTGTTGCTAGAGGCAAGTCTTCTACACTTTTTTTATTCAGTCACTTTGTCTTTAAGAAAGCTACTTTGTTTTGATATTTTCTTTTCTATAAACCAGATTTAGAGTATAAAAATGGTTTGGTGGGGTTTGAGATGCTAATTTTGAAGAATGTGCAAGAAGGTATGTCCCAGAACTGGAGTTAGCTTCCTCTCACAGAACCTTTACTGCTCCTTATTTAGTTTCTCACATAACACCAAGCTATTCAGAATATGACTTCTCAAGCAATGAAAATATAAATACTCAGGACTCAATATTAAATCAAGACTTACGGATGGAGCCTTATAGTTCCATCTGCCCCCTTGGGCATTTCCAAGACACAAATAAACACATTCCCTTCCTAATGAAGAAATAAGATATTTAACCTATTTTTCATATATTATGGGATTTTCACCAGGAAAATTATATTGGAATAAAATCACCATCAACAGAAGGGTACATCTGAACACCAAAACAGATACCAAAAATTTGAGGCATGCTTTGAAGTTGCACATATCTGAAATGCAAAAATTAAGACCTACTTGCTCTTGTTTCACCATCTTCAGCTGAGATATAATCATGAAGTAGCAGAACTAACAGCATCTGAAAAAATGTTACAATCTGTGCCATGTGTATTTTATTCTCAAGGTCTTGATACAAAACTAGATAGAGAAAAATAAAAAGAAAATACAGTGTTATTATATTACAAAAAAAAATCCAAGCTTCTGCAGTTTAAAAACTATGTCAGAGGAACATCACTGAATCAAATCATTAAGATCAGATATGGCCACCCTGCAATGAACTCAAAAAGTGCAAGTCAGCCATGTAAGCCCAAAACTGAGATTCTCAAATCAACAACACTCACCACACTTTTTTGTGGAAGCTCAGTTTTCTCTCAAGGTGCATTTATACACTTCCCCTTCTAGGCACATTCATGAGTAGGTTATATTCCTAGTCACACTTGTCCAAACACTATCCCACTATCCACTCTGTGGCCATTATCAAAAGACATGACCAACATATCCAAAATATGGCAAGTGTTTATGTATCAGTACTGGTAGGGAGGGGCTACTTCAGTCTCAACCCACACACCTGGCTACTTTGGGGAGTCGGGGACAATTCCCACTCCTCTACCCCAGGACTTACACCAGCAGTCAGTCTCAGCAAGCCTCAGCCCTCCCCCAGCAGAGCCAAGCCCTGCAGACTGTGTACTGTAACATCCAGGATTACATAAATGACAAACATCTTCAATTTATGCTTTATTTTCCTGTTTATGTCCCCTTTGCTATCATGGTTAATGAACTATAACCCCTGTCAAGCAAACGCGCAATTTTCATCTCATATTGCTGTTAAAAATGTTATTTGACTAACTTATTTTAATTAACAAATATTTATTCATTATGTTTATTGAAAAAAACATAGTGGTAAAAGATACATTTTTGGAGAACTGTATTAGAGATCCATTAATTTCAAGACTGTGAAAGAAAGCATACTGAATGTCTTTTCTATTCTCTCATCTCATCCTTCAATGTAAAATGGAATTTTCAGGGTAAATTAATTTCACTGCAGAGCAGTCAACTTCCAGGAAATGCTACTCCCACCTAATGTAATTCCCCAAATTAATAAAGCAAAACTGCAATTATTCTGCTATTAAATCTCTCCTTCAGATTACAGATAATTGCAAAGTAGAGCGGTATTTTGTTATTCATATTACCTTGTGTCGGAATGGGTAAGAAATCAGACACACCTTGGGATCTATGGGATAGGATGTAAGATCTGCTTTTCCAGTTCTGCTACACAAATACTGGGATATCACCTTCCTTCAAACAGATTAAGTGGCAGTTTTTTATTCCAGCTATTTGAAAAAGGATTTACTTTAAACTATGAAACTGTGTGTAAGTATTAGGCTTGCAATATGTGAAAAAATATTACCATAGTAAAGGTAGACAATTCAGATTATTTGGTTTGGTAGCAGTTTGTACAATTGATCATTCTAAAATCTCTTCCAGCCTTTTCCGTGGCACGTATTTACTGTAGGGTAAAACACGTCTCTCATAAGACCAAATTGAGCAATATCAAAGAATAAGACATTAAATTAAATCTATGTGGGAACTTGAACAGCAGGGGCCTGAAGGACAACTGCGTGCTTTTAGAGTATCAGGAGAATGTCAGCCTATAACTGAAAAAAAAAACCCCAGATAAACTACAATACAGAGAGCTGATATAAAAACGCACAAAGCTGACCCTAAAAAACATAAAATCCTTTTAATCCCTTCAACCAACAACCCAAAAGAAACAAACAAATTATAAGGAACAGTTTTGAAAAAGAAGGTTGAACAAAATAGCACATTAACTAATTACAAAATAGAACATCAACTAAGTTTTGCTGTTTGTCAACTATGTGATTGTCTAAATGGCTCCTTATGTAACACCCACAGAATTTATGTAAAAGGAAAACAGAAAACAAGAAACTTAGTGGCTTCCCTGCTATCAGCCTTCACTAAAATGTGAGTACAGGGCCAGCTTCCTTAAATGCTGTAACTTTTTAATGAAATTAAAACAGCACGCTAAATTAAAAAAAAATATATTTTTACAACACACTGCCTTGAATGTGAACTGAATGTGTTCTGAGTCATGAGCACAAATAGTTCAGGTCAGGTGTGGACACTGGGATCCTACTCACTGGCTCTGCTCTCCTTTCACCAACCCTGCAGAAACCACAAATGCCTTCCTTAAACTGCACCTCAGCCTCTCCTCTCTGCTCATCCTTCAGCAAGCACTTACCCACTGGTACCTGCAGGGATGAGGGGTACAGAGAGACATCAGGAATACTACAGCAGCCTTCAGTGCACGTTCTTAATGTTGAAAAACATCACATCACAGCAAGATTTCTTTTGGAGAAAACCATGGTCCAACCTACACTTCTTAAAAGGAATTAGTAAAATAATTGTCTTAAAAAGCTTATCTGATTCACAGAATCAAACTGTATTACACTGACAGATCATTTTTTCCATTTGTGAGAACCCTCTATTTAATTTTCAACAAAACCTGTACTTGAGAAGTTCATTTTAAGTATAAACCAAAATAAATGTTTTGCAGGCCAAAATGGACTTATTAATAGAAATCAGAATTAAAAGGATAAAACCAGAGCTTAACCAACCAGATAATGAGGATTCCAATGCACAATTTACTAGAAATTAAATAATATTATAGCACAGCACTTTTAACAGTCAAAAGAGATGCCAAACCAACAACTCCAGAGACACAGCTGCTGTATCTTGTCAACACCGTAATTATTGAACAGGCAACAAAAGGGTACTTGAAACTTACATAAAAACCACCCAATCCAGGAATGAATATTTTAAATAAAACTTTTGGCCTCTTTTTCCAAATTATTCCTAGTTATTAGTTTGTGGTTGTACCAAACGTAACCAGGAAAACAAAAAGAACTGCTTTCCCACTTCTCAGTTATACCAACCCACTTTTAATATAAGCAAGTTGATGTAGGAGAAATTCACACAGGGTTACTCAATAAATACACAGATGTTGCATCCAGTTCAAGTAAAGGGTGGTAGACTGAGAGAGTATTAGTGGAGAAATAGCACACGTGTTACTGTATTTTTCAAGACATCCTCATAGTTGTTTACTTTTTCCACTTTAAAAAGGACAGAGTCCCCCAACCAACTTCAGGCTTTGTAAGTCTAGTGATGTATAGGGTGGCAGGAGCAAACCTTTGGCTATATCCCAACTCCACAAAATCGTTTAAATTAAAGCCACAAGGTTTAATGAGGTATTAACTGAGACAGGATACTGGGTTGGGTGGACCTTTAGTGTGACTCATAATGGCCATTCTTTTCACTGTAGGCTTTTTATCTTGGTATTTTACATGCCAGTTTGATAGCAAAAGGGATGTTAGAGTGAACAGAAACAGTCTTCTAAGGAAAAACAGCTTATCTCAGACAGAGGGAAAACAAACAGCTTATGTAAAGGCTTCTGCTCTGAGCTCCCAAAATGAGAGGTTGTAGAGCACACACAATATTTCAGAGTGATTTGCATCTAGACTCAGGCAAATTTTTCTGCATCTGAGAGTACACAAAAGTTAAGGTCCTAGCAGTGCTACTAAACATCATACCCCTGAACCAATGGGGTAGCAGTGTAAGACCCTGTTCTCAAGAGTAGAGTTCACAAAGTATTATTTCTGTCTTCACCGAAGGCAGAAGAGAAAGGTGGTACAATAAAACCTGGCTGCATCAGCCACACCCTATGAGAGCATGAGGTGATAGCCTCCCCCATGCACATGCACTGTTTGTTGTGCACAGGAGGAAAACCCAATGAAGTTTGGAAACTGGTGACACAGCAACCCACCCACATGCTGTCATTTTAGGCAGCCTTAGGCAATTGGACAGTTCCCGCAACTTATTTCTTGCTTTCTTCTGGGCAGTGCAATTTTTCTGCACAGCAGCATTTGCACCAACAGGACCACTGAACTCTGCTGACTGGGAAGGGAACTCAGATTTCCTATCCAGTGGAAACGTGGTACAGCCATTACTGAAAGCAACAGCCTCTACTTGATTTTTGAATGGATTCAAGATTGCCAGTGTGTCACAGATGGTAAAGGCATGCAATTCCCAGAACAGCTTTGCTGCATACAAGTGCACAGAGGTTCAAATGACATCTCCTCTGCACGCATAGCAAAATAATTTCACATCCAATTTAAGTTTTCAGTAGAAAATTTATGCATCTAAGTGCATTAGGCATTATTTCCACCTTGCATTTATGATGCCTAAAAGCAGTACCTTCTGCATCTCAAAGGGCAGTTTACTGATGCAGTCTTTCCATAGCAATTTTTCCAGTGCCCAGACAAATATATAATTTTATTCTTTCCAAGAATACTCTCTGAGGAAACTTTCCATTTAGACAATCTTACAGAATCAATTATATTTGCTCTTCAGTGCAGTTTTGTCACTCTTCAAATTCATAGATTTCTCCAAAAACCCTGCCTTCTCTGCTGCATGAAGATTTCTTGCTGAAGAACTACACTGAAAGGAGGAGCTTCTTCCTTCACTTCTTCCCACTGCTAGTTACTGCCTAAGAAGAAAGTCAGGAAGGGTATGGTTTTAACCTTTTCCAGACTTCTGAGAAAATAACCAGACTAAAGGTTATATACATTAGCCAGCTTTCCAAGTATAAGTTAACACTTCTCTCATATTGCATCACTGCATAAACATCTCATAATTCAACTAGAGATCATTAAGTTTGGCATACAAAGAGACAAGTATGAAGACATTACAACAATAATGACTGAAAGGACATACAGCAGATTCTTTGCATTTTCAAAGTTTACTCAGTACTACAGGAACTGCACAGCAAGAAAAAGGACCCCTGAAAATCCTAATTAATGTGCATTAAGTAATGTGGAAAAGTAATGCAATATGGCATCACCACCTTTTTATATTTGCTCCCTCCATTTTCAGAATTAATGGGATTTGCAAATAAAATGTTAGGGCAATTTACATTTAACTATTTATTTCTATCTCTACCTAAAGTATTAGTCCAGTCCTATGCATTCAAAAAGTCTATGAGGCTATTCTAAGACAGTTTCTTTCATCAAGTAATTCATCTGAATCTGTATTTACTTCCACTTGGATTTCAGTCCCA